AGAGGCCTCAGATAAAAACAGTTGTTAGTGCACTTGTCCTTTTTTTCGCATAGTAAATGCTAACCATGATAATATTATTCGATAATTAGATTAAATGTCTGAAGTTTTAATTATACACGTTTGTCGTTTATTTCTAGCATCTATTATTGATTGAATAATTTAGTGTTTCTGCTGTGGTAGACAATTTTTATACGACCACTAAATTTTTTGCGTTCGTATATGTTATGGCGATGTCTGCGTCGGCGTCTAAAGACATTTTGGTTCGCAGACAATTACTTGAGTATAGGTGTATGGATCTCTATGAAATTTTAGCACAATGTTCCATACCACAATAGGAAGATTGGGATTGATTTTGAGGGGTATTGTCGTAGCCGTTTCGTAATAAGGGGCCAAAAAGGGTCCAAAAACAAGCATTTTTACTGGTTCATAGACAATAAATTGGTTCGCAGACAATAACTTGAGTATAAGCGTATGGATCTGTATGAAATTTTAGCAGAAGGTTCCGTACTACTATAGAAGGGTTGGGATTGATTTTGGGGGTATTGTCGTAGTTGCTTTTGTAATAATGGGCCAAAAAGGGGCCAAAAACAACTATTTATCTGGGTTTGCAGACAATAACTTGAGTATAAGTGTATGGATCTCTATGAAATTTTTGCAGAAGGTTCCGTACTACTATAGAAGGGTTGGGATTGATTTTGGGGGTATTGTCGTAGTTTCTTTTGTAATTTTGGGTCAAAAAGGGGCCGAAAACAACTATTTATCTGGGTTTGCAGACAATAACTTGAGTATAAGTGTATGGATCTCTATCAAATTTTAGCACAAGGTTCCATACCACAATAGGAAGGTTGGGATTAATTTTGGGGGTTATTGTCGTAGCTGTTTAGTAATTAGGGGCCAAAAAGGGGCCACTTTAACAATTATTTTTCTGGTTAACAGACAATAACTTGAATATGAGTGTATGGATCTCTATCAAATTTTAGCAAAAGGTTCCATATCACAATAGGAAGGTTGCAATTTATTTTGGAGGTTATTGTCGTAGCTGCTTAGTAATTAGGGTGCAAAAAGGGGTCAAAAACAATCATTTTTCATATTTCAGGACAATAACTTGTGTTTAAGAGTATGGATCTCTATGAATTTTTACCACAAGTATCCACATCTCAAAAGAAAAGTTTGGATTGATTTTGGGGGTCATGTCTCAAACCGTTTAATAATTAGGGAACGAAGAGGGGCAAAAAAAAACTAGGATTTTCTGGTTTCTGGACAATAACTTCAGTATAAGTCTATGGATTGCTATTTAATTGTGCAATTCTGCACAAGGTGCTATACCATAAACTAAAGTTTGAGATTTATTTTAGGGGTTATGAACCTAATGGTTTATTTAAAAGGGGCCAAAAACAATACTTTTGTAATACTTTATATCAATTGCTTATTTCTTGAGCAATTTCAATGGGGTTTAATTCAAAGTCTTGAATTCTTGGGGTTCTTAAATATGCTGAATCTAATTGGGTATTTAGAATTTGGATTTTGGGCCTTGTTTTTAATTTATCCATATTAAGGTCCAAAGAGTCCAAAATGAAACTTTGTTTTCCAAAGGGTCCAAATTTAAACTTTGTTTGATTTCTTCAAAAATTAAATTGTTGGTGTTCTTTTATATGCTGAATCTAATTGTGTATTTAGATTTTATTAATTTTGGGGCTTGTCTTCAAATTGGTCAACATTAATGTCCAAAGGGTCAAAAATTAAATTTTGTTTGATTTATGAAAAAAAAATTGAATTCTTGGGGTTTTTTTTTATATGCTGAATCTAAGCATGTTTTTAGATTTTTGAATATTGGCACAGAATTCAAGTTGGTCCAAATCTGGGTCCAAAATTAAAATTTGTTTGATTTTATAAAAAAATAAAGTATTGGTGTTCTTTGATATGCCCAATCTAACAGTGTAATTAGATTTTGTTATTTTGGGCCCAGTTTTCAAGTTGGTCCAAATCGGGGTCCAAATTAAACTGTTTGATTTCAACAAAAATTGAATATATGGGGTTCTTTGATATGTTGAATCTAAGTGTGTAGTTAGATTTTAGATTGTGGGTCCCGTTATCAAATTGGTCCATAGGGTCCAAAATTAAACTTTATATGATTTCATCAAAAATTGAATTCTTGGGTTTTTTGATATGCTGATTCCAACCGTGTATTTATATTTTGGATATTGGACCATAATAGGTAAATTTCCAATTCAAAATTAACTAAGTACTAAGACAACATTCATTCTGGGTCAGAAACTATGCTACAAATGTATATAAAATATTTAATCAGAGCTGTATTGCACAATTAATAGAAATAATAAGTAGATTCATAGTTGAAAATAGATATAGCATCATATGATTATCTAATTTTAGAGAAGAAATATAGTTTGAAATTTACTGTTCATTATTAGATTATAAAACGGATAAGTAGAGCTGTAAATCTGTCATCTCATTCTGATAAAGGGACCTAACAAACAGATGTTTAAAACAAAAAACTTAGTCTGTTACTATGGAGAGATGATTATGTCCAGTTTCTGATATTACCACTCCAGGACAGCAACAATGAAGTTATTTGAAATTTTGTTTATTTTAACATTTTTATAACTAATCATTGAAATTGAATATCAAAATGAACAAAGGAAAGTTTGTGATGTATTAATTCCCTATACATTAGCTAATGTGTGTATTTGTTTGATTATTTTGTAATTCTATGTTTATTATATATCAATGTATTTCATGAGGGCCACATTTAACTGTGTAACCCTCTTTAAATAAAAAATTATTATTACATGTATTATAATTATCATTATTATTTTTGAAAATATGGATTTTTTTGATTTTTTCTTCCTTTAAAAACTACATACAATTTGTATTACATATTTACATTTGTAATTAATTCACATTTATGAATATGGATAAGTGTTGTGTATTTACTATTAATTCATTCATTCAGCAATTACCACCTATTATTAAGAAAACAACACATGTAGTATTCATCAACTAACACACTTATAATTGGAGTGACAAATTTATTATTTTTGTTTTTTTCATTTTTTTCCCCATTTTCTTTTAAGAACTTCGTGATAGGTATGTTTGTTGTTCTGTATAAATTACTTTTCAGAAAGTTATATATATATATATATATATTTATGAAGCGAACCCCTTTAAAAACTTAGCTTATATTGTTCATTAATTAAATTCTTTGTGTACTTGGATATGCTGAATCTGTCCAAATCGGGGTCCAAAGTTGAAGTTGGAGTTCTTTGATATGCTGAATCTAACCTTGTATTTAGATTTTGGATTGTCAGGGCCCTGTTATCAAATTGGTCTACATTGAGGTCCAAAGGGTCCAAAATTAAACTTTTTCTAATTTCATCAAAAATTAAATTCTTGGGATTCTATTGATATGCTGAATCTAATCGTGTTTTAAGATTTTGGATACTGGACCTTAAAAGGTAAAAGTCAAATTTCTAAATCTTTAGTTCTTTGACCACATTTACTATGTGCAAGAAACCTATGATGTGTCAACTATTTAATCACAATCCAAATCTAGAGCTGCATCAAGCTTGAATGTAGTGTGCATACTTGCCCCAACTGTTCTGGGTTCTACCTCTGCGGTCGTATCAAGCTGCGTTTTGCGGAGCATTTAATTAACATGTACCACGAAATCAAGTTTATTTGTTACCAAATGAATCAGAATGTAAATTTACCGGATACAGTAACTATGGCCATGAGTTGTATAAGTTAGTTCCATAAGTATAACTTCTTTTGTTGGTTTTTTAAAAATAGATCTTATTTTGCATTGAATCATTTAAAAACAGAACTAAAATAGTTATTGGAAAAAAAAATGCAACAAAAATAGATTGAATATTTTCATGACGCATGCAATAGGGGCGGGCACAAGATTCACAATTATGGACTCGAAAGGGGCATATACTCAAAATATAACAATTTCACAATGATTTTAGCATAACAAAATATGAAATATACATTAGTAGTGCACAACTAATTGTACAAAGTGGCAAGCAATATATTGTATGATAAGTATCATGGAATATTACATAGTTATTATTAGCATATACATTAAATTTGAAGGTTTTCTAAAATAAATTCACTAATTTTACTGGTAATTTGTATATTTTCTATAGTCACTTACCATATAAATCTGTTAAGACAAGACAAGTGAGAAAAGGATGGACTTTTTAAGGTAACACAATTAAGAAAAAAATGTCTTTGCTGATTAAAGAAAAGAGTAAGGATGTTTATTTTCAATATCACCGAAATAGCACTATCTCCTTATATGTAGAAAGAGATAAACGATTAACGAGACATATTACATATATCAAAACAAACACGCGCTAATATTGAATTAAAATATTGCTGTGGGGTGGTTATTGGAGTATAACACCAAAGAAATATAGTTAAATTTACACCATAGCCTAATCAAAGTCTTGTGAAGTGGCTACTGTACTGAAATGAAGGAAAATGAAGTTTTATTTGACTCTTAGCCTTTAAGTTTTTGATCCCATTTAGGTTTTTGTATTCAAAAGTTTATCTAGTCTAATGGGTCTTTTTCAGCTGTACATTGTATTTGAAACGACACCTTTATTTATAAAAAAATATAGTAGTCCTGTATATCTGTAAAATATCAATCTCTCTTAAAACGTCACTCTAAGCTAAGTTTCAATCAAGCCGCTCATGAAAAATGAATACATAAGTGCTACCAAAAGCAAATAAAAATAGGTGGAGCAATGCCATTTAACAATACTTACCCCTAGTGACTGTTCCAGCGATGGTGGAAAGTAATCATTATATTTTACGAAATCAACAAACAATACTTACCCCTAGTGACTGTTCCAGCGATGGTGGAAAGTAATCATTATATTTTACGAAATCAACAAACAATACTTACCCCTAGTGACTGTTCCAGCGATGGTGGAAAGTAATCATTATATTTTACGAAATCAACAAACAATACTTACCCCTAGTGACTGTTCCAGCGATGGTGGAAAGTTATCATTATATTTTAGGAAATCAACAAATGTTTTTGTTACAAATGGATTCATAATGGGAGTTCACCTAATACAGTAACTGTGGTCACGAGCTGTATGAGTTGATTCCATAAATATTACTTATTACCTTGAAGTTTAAAGATAGATTTTACTTTGCATTGAATAATTTAAAGAATAAAGAACTAAAATAGGGATTGGAAAAAATGAAATAAAAATAGATTGAAAATTTTCGAAATAAAGGAACATGCTGGAATTAGTTGGTTCTATATATACTTATACATATTAATCTTGAAATTTCAAAATAAACCTTATTTTGAATTCGATCAGGCAAAACAAATAGAACTAAATATACTTTTGGTTGCAATAGGCCATAATGTCGTATGAAATCTTATTAGAATTTCAAATGTTTTCTTCGGTTTTATACTATTTTAGATAAAATCAATATTATTGAGATTATTTTTATACTGATTTATTAAAAAATGACGTTCAGTATAATCATAAAAAAATGATGATGTTGTGTTTGGCTTTGATTATGCATAGTTTAAGCTAACCATAATATTATTCGATAATTATAATAAATGTCCGACGTTTCCATTATACACGTTTGTCGTGTGATACAGTGCTTGTTGTCCGACATTTGCTTTTTGTCCGGTTTTGCTTTTTGTCCGATAACTTTGCTTTTTGTCCGAAACTTTTGCTTTTTGTCCGTTGCTTTCGGTCCGTTTTGCTTTTTGTCCGATAATTTTGCTTTTCGTCCGAGACTTTTGATTTTTGTCCGTTACTTTCGGTCCGTTTTGCTTTTTGTCCGATAATTTTGCTTTTGGTCCGACACTTTTGCTTTTTGTCCGTTGCTTTCGGTCCGTTTTGCTTTTTTTCGATGATTTGCTGTATGTCCGATTTAGAAATGTGTATAAGTGATATAGTGTTAAAACCATCGATCTTCTGCAGCAAAACTGGCAACCCTAGCCCCGACGCATATTCTATATGCCTGTCAAAAGTTAGGATCCTGCAATTCAACAATTCAACAGTTGTTGTTTGTCTGTCTATCAAATTCGTTTTGAATTGTGTTACATTTTTGGCCTTTTATACGTACAACAACCTAGCCATGGATGCTTAGTACGTCAACGCCATTTGGTCTCTTGTGGAAAGTTGTCACATTAATATGATTATATACACCTTAAGGCATGTTCTTACTAGGTTTCATAGATATAAGAAGATGTGGTATGAGTGCCAATGATACAACTCTCCATCCAAGTCAAAATTTATAAAAGTAAACCATTATAGGTCAAAGTACGGTCTTCAACACGGAGCCTTGGCTCACACCGAACAGCAAGCTATAAAGGGCCCCAAAAGTTACTAGTGTAAACCATTCAAACTGGAAAATCAACGGTCTAATCTATTTATAAAAACGAGAAACGAGAAACACTTATGAACCACATCGACAAACGACAACTACTGAACATCAGATTCCTGACTTAGGACAGGTGCAAACAATTGCAGCGGGTTTAAACGTTTTAATAGTACCAAACATTCACCCTTATCTGAAACAATAGTGTAACATCACAACATAGAAAGACACACTATAAAATATCAATTGAAATGGCTTAACTCAATCAAAAGACATATTAACACCAGTGAACATACACTGAACAAATAAATTTGATCTATGATACAATGTAAATACATAATAAATAAACTAAGGGAAGAATAATTAAAGTAACATGTTATACCGCTGTGAAATGTTAAACAATTTAAGAAAAATAATTTGCTTGAACAAAAATATCAGCAATTTGCAATTACTTTAAACACAGGTAATGAAAATATTTTTTTTGTTAGGTATACGTGTACAGTTCAAATGGAGAAAGGAAATATTTTTACAAAATAAATAATTTTGATGTTCATAGTACGAAGAAGTGAAAATTTATAGTAATACCAAACACTTACCAAAGCTGTTATATAGACCAGATATAACCCTGAATAACATTAAATAACATAAAAAGCATTACAATTAGTATCAACAGGTCAAATAAACAAGAAAGTACGATTTGAGAGTACTCGCAGTTACTGACAGCTAGTTAAAAGCCAAAAACAATTAATAATAAAACATCATGCATCAGACACTAAAATCAACTAAAACACATCCCAGGGTTTTAGTATTTTAACGTCATGGACAATCAAAGAAGACATGACTTGTGCAATGCCAAAAACAAATGTATCGGCAGGCCGTAGGATAGTTAGGAGTTAACCTCTTTATAGATCAAAATGAACGTGGGTGTGTATTTATACATCCCGTTTGAAAAGAATACTTGCTTGTATTACCATTTGCATGATTTTTGTGGTAAGCTGCTCAACTATTAGTATATAATCAGATTATTACATGGCATTTTTCTAATCAGATGTATTATCAGCCCTCGGTCAACATCGACCCAAGAGCCGAAGGTTCGAGGGCTGATAATACATCTGACATGAAAATGACATGTTATGATCTTTCTATCATATGCTTCAACAATAGAGAAAAATAACAGTTTAATATATCATGTTTATTGATCCTTTTAAGTGGTTCTCAAGTAGAAGTTCAAAAAGTGAAAAGTTTACGGACGACGGACGCCAAATGTAATACATCCGATATGAAATCTTTCTATCATATGCCTCAACAGAGGAGAAAAACAACATTCTCTTATGGTTGTGGCCTGTTGTCTATTTCTTGCATGAAGAGATATTTCTCTTATCACATTACATGGAGTGTGATACGAAAAAGTGATACGAAAACTGCGTTAATTTGATTGGCTTATTCAGCATCATGAGAGAATAATATGACATTTCCATTAACTATTCGTTAGGTCACTGATGTCTTTCAAAGGTTACGACGATGTACATTTCGTCCATGGCAACGGGCATATGCGATTTCTTCAATGATACACAAAACACTCACACTTTTCACCTGAAAATCTTCTTTTTGGCATATTTCATTACATTCTGAATCGTACAAACAGTTTTAAAATGTCATGTCAATTTTGACGCTGGAACAGGACCTATGAAGTCATACTGGTATGTACGAAAGACTAGATCAAGGATTCGCGGAATTTTTAATTTAACACAATGAGAGTGTTGACCATAAGAGAAATAGGTAACAATATTATATTGAAATCAAATAACTCGACTAGATATGAAGCGATATCTAATTTTCACTTGTTATGAAACTTATAAGTATAATATATTTTTATATTGACGATAAAAAAAATCAACAAAACATAATGAACACTATTTGGAAAAGTCAACATTAGTAAAGTAACTTGCTAAATTATGTTGGAAACTTTGAAAAATGTCTTTATTGTATCATTTGTTTTGCATTTTACATAATATGTTTTTTCCTGTTTCCTAATATTTGTTCTGTACCTTACTTTGTTATGTTTTTCACTAAAAACGTACCATTGAGGTGTTTTTTCCGGAATTTGCCGAGTAACCTCGGAATCAGTGCCATGCGATAACGTTACGGAAAGGCATGCCATAATAGCAGGAAGCAGTTGATAAATTTTTCATATCAGCCCGCTAAGCACCATTTCGGAAAAAATGAAGTTCACGTAAATTGAATACTATTATCATATTGTAAAAATTATAAGTTATTTACTCTAAGTAACTGATAAACAAAGTTATCAAAGGTTTGTTTTGAGGCAATTATCTTACATCTGTACGTATGTTTTGCAAATAGAGTTTGAAATCGTTATTTTCGTTTAATTAATATCCAAAAATGCATTGAACAATGCCATTCATAAGTTACTGTCCTTAAGTTGAGGCAGCAAACCAGTTGTTCGGCCTAGTAGTTTTTCCCTTTTGCCAGGGTTGTTTTTTTTATGAATTTTAACATGTTTTACTTCAAAAAGTTTTAAGTTGCTATTGAAAGTGTTTAATATGATGTATAAAAATAATAAATTTATTTCATAGAGATTTTTGTAGAGGTTATCAGATTTTTAAAACCCCTTATAAGAAGATAAGAGATCTAGAGGGAAACTCAAAATTTTACTAACTTGTAGATGACACCTACCGGAATGCAAAAAAAAGAAACGAATCTAATACTTGTAAAAACTTAGAATCTTGTGCAAGGTAAAACATGTAAGCTCACCAAATTAATGTTTTTTGTCTGAATGCAGGTTTACGCGAAGGATAATACCGTTAGGTTTCAGTGCATAAATTTGTAACTAAAACATTAATCTGGTCATTGAAATAAGATCAAATTGGTTCTCCTTGTTAACGAGGGTAGTCGCGAAAGTACTGATTAATTGTACAATTTATTCAAAATTTTATAACATTTAAAACAATTAGCGGGACTTGTTTGTCAAGTACACATATTAATGTCATATAATTTTCACTTTTCTTTTCTTACCAATTTGAATATACGTTTTGACTTTTAATGTAATAAATTTATGAAAGTGGTACACGAGACACTTTTCTAAATGTATTTACTGTGTTTTTACACATCAGGAAGATGTATTTTTTCTTTTAACTTTTTCAGAATTTTCAATTTCTTATTATGTTTCGTATTTCAATGTATACATGCAAATACCGTATAGCGGAGAGTTTTACTTATTGATTCATTAAAAAAAATCAGAAGACATCACAACTGTTCCGCAAAGCAAATGGATTGAATTTAAGGATGTGGTATATTTGCGTATGAGATGACTATCCAGTATATAAAGGCAAATGATAAAAATTGTAATCATTACAAACCGGTTATCGCTCGGCTTTTAGCAGTGAGTAAACCCCGTAGCGCATAAAAAGTTAGTTTCAGCCCTGGAATGACAAATATTAAATGATAATGACATTTTCTAAATTTGCAACAATGATATCGTTAGTTTGTGCATGCAAATCTTCAATTACAATAATTGGATATTCATATTTTCAAAGTTCCTTTTTTGAAATGCCACTACTACGTCAAAAATCCCTTAACTGAAACGAATTTCAAATACCATAAGTAACTTAAACAACTCAATCAATTAATTCAGGTCTTGATAAAAAAGATGGAAAAATTATATTTCAAAACAATTCTTTATTTTGAGTCCTTTAACTTTGGCAAAAAAAACGCTTAATCTGAACCAAATTCAACGATGCTTTCATCTTCTAATG